CGACAACCATTACCATAAGCCTAGCAATGATACAACGTTTCGCCTCACGTTGCCAGGGCCATCCTATACTTTGTCGGGGTATAGGATGATATCGTAACTATGAATCCATCTAATTGGCCTTCTCAGAGGCAGTGAGGAGTCGCATAAAAAAATCAATGTTATCATATCCTACGCTGGCTATGTAGTTTTATGGGACTTCTGAATCATAAGAGACTCTAACTCAATTCGATGCTCGATACTACTCCCAAAACATTTGATATAACTTTATGCACACTTTACCCATTTCGAAGAATAGACTTCTTAATTTATTGAAATACTTTTCAAAACATTGGACGTGTTTACATTCTTGAAAACATGCATTTATGAACTTATCTTTCAAGTCCAATAATCAACATAGATACATAAGTGTATATATAGATATATAAATAACATTTGAAACTCTTAAGTGTTTATGAAATAGAACCTTTGAACTTTCCTCTTAACTTTAATTTGATTTGAAGATTTAAATTTAAGAACTATGATTAGGATATATATATATATATATATATAGGATCTCTCAATGATTAATGGAATCTTAGATAGCTGGTAATAAGAAGAGAGCGAAGACACTACTAAAATAAACGCATACGGGACGAAGAACAGAGGCGAAAGGGGATGACGCCCCTGGCGCATCAGTGGCGCGCTGCGCTAGCCCTCAATTAACTGGGGCTGGTTTGGGGCGCACTGCAGGTGCAGGGAGCCAGCCCCCTAGCGCTATGGGGGATTCCGCGCCAGCCCCAAACCCAGAAAACTCGACGAATTTTTCTTGCTCAATTCATGGCCTAACTCATCTAGAATTGAATGATTTCCTCCCAAACTCATTTGGATTCATAAACCCAACAAAAATTAATCTAAAACCCACTCAAATTTCATCAATAACATTACTCATTCGCAAAACCCTCACCTCAAGAACTCAGCAAGACTCCATTGACAAAGAATGAAGCAAAACCTCAAGAATTCCTCAAGAATCTTTACATAAACGATTTCATGGACAATTTAGTGAACGAAATACATGCTTGGCATCAGGATGAACAAATCCATCACTATGAGAAATCTCACGTACCTCGAAAGAACTAAATTCTTGCGATTTCCCCAAATCCTTGAAAAACTCTTGAAACCTCCTCTTTTCTCCTCTTGAACTTTGCCCTAACTTTCTTAAATGTTTTTGAAAGAATAAAAAACTGATCTCAATCAGCTTAGATCCCTATTTGGGTGGAAAAATGTTTTGGCCTAGTGGGGTAAGGAAAAGACCAAAATACCCCTCCTTAAAACGGATGAAAAGGCTCTATCTCGAGAGGCTGCACTCAAATGGATATAACTCCTTCATCTGAACTCGGATTTTAGCAAACTCAATGGCGCTGGAAAGAGGACTCAAATACCTTCGATTTGATACCTCATGGGCCACCTAACTCATTTTATGCTGAAAGTTATGGTAGATTTAAGTTGACCCAAAACTTAAAATTGAAGAGTAACTTGTATGAATCTCAATTTAGCTCTCTCAAAGTCCGGGGTGTTACATTATGGTTGTCCCTCATCCCTTGTTGAAGTCTTACGAGCCTAAATCTAAGAGTATTATTGTAACATCACGCGTAATTCAAGAACATTTTATTTAGATTTATATTTGATAAAAATATTTTTTTAGTTTCTTCCAAAAATACTTTAATTATTTATGAAATTAGGCATTGAAGACACTGAATTACGCGTTTGCGGGGTAAACAATATTTTATATAATTGTGGATAAATTTCTTTAGAAAATATTGTTTTTATGTAAAATAAATTGTTATAACGTATAAATAACGAACTACAAAAATTATTTTACGAGATAATATAAAAAAAATTGTCATTGCGTGTGTACATATATAAATTATTCGAACTAGTGATTTCAATTTATTTTTTTATAGTAGTAACTTTTAAAAAAATTCATAGCAAGTAAAATTATGCAATTTTATAGGATCTCTATCTCTCTCTCCTCTCTCTCTCTTTATATATATATACACTTGGCATATATACTAAAAAAAAATTAATACTTTAATTAATTTATTTATTTTAGAAGTTAATATTTCAAAATGTCACTCAATTTTGGACATAAAAAATAATTTGTTTTGTTATGTCAAATTTATTTAATGAGAAATTTATTTGAGTTATTTTTTCCACACAAAAAGTTGTTCAGTGATTTTTTTTGGATGTAAAGACTTAAGTCAGGTGATTTTATTGATGCAAATAAAAGTTTAATGACTTTGTTAGATGAATTTTTAAAGTTGAATGACCTTTTGATACTAACTCATAAGATTTTTGAGAAGAAGAACGAAGAGATTGTATTGCAACAAATGGCTATCATTTTATTAACTTGAAAAATCTTTCTACCATAAATAGTAAATTTTATTGGAGAAATTAGAGAAAATGGTGTTAGATTTTATGGAGCTCTTTCTTTGAAGTTAAAAAAAGAAGAAGACAATAATGATAATTTTGTTAGTCACGTGGGATCTATAGTAAAATTTAACACTTGTGTTTTTAATAAATCTCTTAGGTTTAGGGTAAATGACCAAAATGAACATTTTTTGTCATAATTAAGGACTATTTCAATCAAGTGAAACATATTAAAGACGAAAATCAACACATTTGTTATACATTAAGGACTATGTCAATCAAATAAAATATATTAAAAACAAAAAATAAAGCATTACTCATGTATTTAAGTTTCAAGTTGAAGTTGAAGTTGATGTTGGCGTATCAATGTTGGGGGAATGCTTTGTTTATTATAAGGATGACAAAGCTTTTAATTTATGGGTAATGAAAGACGACCATGATATTAAGGATTCTTGGATGAAATGGTGCACTATAGCAAACACCAAAATTTATAGAGTCATTCTCATGTATACGTTTTCAAATGATTAGGTGTTACTCTATTTTCAATTAGATTCGATAACAACGTCAAAATTTGTATATGGCATAATATTTGTTGGATCATTTGGATTAAGCAATCAAATATGACCTTTAGATTATGATGATGTTGATGTAGTTATAGTCAACACAAATGGTATTGTTTATACGGAAAGTCTCCCCTCTTCGAAACATGGTCAATAAATAGGGTGTGTAATTGGCCATCTAAATATATTGTTATTTGTTTACGTGAGAAGAGCACACTTTTTTCATGTTAGTTTTTTTTGAAATTTTACAAAACTAGAGTTATACAAAATAGATTTAATTTGTTATATATGAACTTGGCAAAGTTATACATCTGGAATAGTTTGACGGTAACTAGCTAGTTAATAAAGCGTACAACTACGGTACAAAACTAAACTCACAATCAAACTTCTATTATAACAATATAAAATGGAATTCTCTCTTTGCTTGAAAATAAATATGATAGAAGTCAATTCTTTCTTTGCAAATAAAACCAGAAAGCTCCTAGCAATGATATCCTCCAAGCTGTCTTCTTTTCCTTATCGGTCTTTGGAGATTCTTCAGAGAAATAGAACTAACTAACCAAACAAGAAAAGAAAAATAAAGGCATTATACATTATAAATATTCCCTTTAACTTGAACTTGCCTTATATTGGTTCATAAGTGATTGCTATATCAAAAGTAATACTAGCCAAAAAGGATGAAATTTGTTGTATCACAGAAACTTTCCTTCGTTTTCCTATATTGATCTCTTAAATTTTCATTTTAAAATACAAAGGCTAATTTATTTTTTAAACATGAAGGATTATTTTAATAGCTAAGCAACAACAAGATGTGTACCTTAATTAACACTTGCAGTGAAAATTGTTGGCAATGCATTTGATGTAGATTCGCTCCAAATCCGAACAGCCACAAGATCGACTCTGTCTCACAAAGGAAACATAGTGCAATTCACAAATTAAGAGTCTCCTTAGTGTGTAGATTGATTTGTGTAAAAAAATATGATAGTTTTTCTTCTCTGTTTATTTACTGATCTTTTGTTTTTTCTTTCTCACGTTCTCCCCTTTTTCCACGTTCTTCAAAGACGCTTCCACTCAGAGTCTTTTAAGGAGAGGTTGAGCAGTTACTGGAGAAGATTATGTGTGTGACCACCAATATAACTTAATTTAGTCCATAGTCACTCCATTTCTTTTTTATTTATTTTGTAGGATTACTTTAAGAGAAAGTCAAAAAGTGGGGTTGGCTTGTGGGGTCAGGGACCTTTTTAACACTTTAAAAACTTGGGGGATAAAATACAAGTTTTAAAAAATTATTTAATTCCCAACACTTCAAATATTAAATAAATTTAATCCCTCCAAAAATAAAGTACAATCTCAGTATATAAAAAAATTAATATATTAGTTATTAGGAAACCCTTTTTCCGATGAAACCTTAGAACTACTTTGTTCTCCAATATGGCTTTTGATCTTCCATAGACTAGCTTTCTCGATATTGTAAACCTCCATAAAACACCTTTCTCCAAGAACTAACCTTTCCAATCTTGTATTCTTGAAACCATAAAGAAACGTAAGTTCCCATAATAGTTCCTGAAGATTTCAAACGAAGTGAATCAGATCTATTTTGTTCAATCTTCTTCCCCAAATTCAGTTGAATCTTGATCAATCTTCTTCCTTTCAGGTAAGTTTAATCGTATTTTCAGTAACTTTTAGTCCTATTTAATTTATTTTTTAATTGCGGTAGTGTAGTGAAGTTTAGATTTATGCTTAAAGTTTTGAAAATCTGACCCTTTTTAGTTTATGTTTCTGATTCGGCATCGTTAATGACGTTTTGGTTTGGATAATGCATAGAATTTTTTTGAAACTTTTATGTTATCGATTTAAAAACTTTACTGTATTTTGATCGATTTTAAAGTTTTATGTTTGCGATTTTACTGTCGATTTTGGTTTGAACTGCTGCTTCTTTTGCATGTGTTTTTAATGTAAGCTTTGATTGTGCTAATAGACTAGTGATCGATATTTTGATATGACAAATTTGTTTTTGCTTGTATATAGTACAGTATGGATAAAACTAGAGGCGGCATCATTAAGCAATCTGGTTCTAATGCTTCTAAAAATAAGAAAAGAAAGGCTGAACAAGTTTCCAAAGCTTTAAAAAAGAAAAAATTTATTGTTGAAGAACATGAGTCAAACTTTGATTCTGATACAATGGCTGAGATTGACAACTACCAGGACAGTAGTGCCTAGTCTAGTGATGATGTTGAATCTAGTAATGATAAAAGTGACAATGAAGATGAGAGTAGTAGAGATACTCAAACTGGTGATGAGGATGAAGATCCCCTGTCTTTGCCAATTTGTGCAAAAGACATTTCTGGTATAAGTCGTATGATTTAAAGACATGGATAGATGAAATAGGATCATTTTCAGCAAAAAAAATTGTTAGAGCAAGGATGGTTGTTTAACGTGATTTAATAAATCTTTTAGTTCAAGAAAAAAATTATGATGATTTTAAAGGCACTTGTTATGGATATTTGAGGCATATTCCAGAATATTTCAAGTTCGATGGACAGATGGTCCATTATATGTTGTTGCGACGTATCAAAAGTGACAAAAAAATTACATGAAATTTGGTTCTGTGTGAATGATAAGCCTACTTGTTTTGGCTTAAGAGAATTTGCATTGATTATGGGACTGAATTGCTCAGCATACCCCTGTGATGCAAAATTGTAAAAAATTCTTGAAAAGGAAGAGAAAATTTACTACAAGGCGACTAAGAATAAGAACATTACTTCTACAAAGTTGATGCGTTTGATCAAAGATTTCAAGTTGAATAAAGAGCAGAAGTTGAAGTGCTTGTTGGTTTTGTTCGTCCACACAATGCTGCTTTCCGATGATCGATCGAAAATTGTGGATTCAAGTCATATTAAGATGGTGGATGGTTTAGACTTTTTCAATAGTTATCCGTGGGGAAAGAGAGTTTTAATTTAACATTGATGTATCTGAAGAATAAAATCAATTTGAAGAAACAGAGTCAAGTGTTTAACGAAAGAGAAAATGCATCGTATGCTCTGTATGACATTCTCTGGGCATTTCTGGTACTTCTTATAAATTATGTAGTTGATTTATGATAAATTCTTATATATTTGTGTAGTATTTTATAGCCTCTATTTATTTATTTGTTCTTCTATTAATTTCAGGATGGGATATATGAGGCTTTTCCTCATCTTGGAAAGTATGCCAAGAAGTCGTTGGATTCTCCTTTACCCATTTTTCGTTTACTTAGATGGTACACCGCAAAAAATGATAATATTATCGAAGGTGATCCATTTAAGTATAAAGGAAAAAGTACAAAGGTACAAAGTTTATTTATCATTATTTAGAAATATTTATATATTGGTGAATGTCATATAATATTTGTATTTTTTTCGTAGGTTGTGCATCCATACTTCATACCTACTGTCCGTGAGACAAAAAAGAACTACTTGACAACTTTAAAGCCATATGTGGACGAAGTGAAGGATACAATCCTCGATGCCTTAAAGGCAAATTTGAAAGGTGTGATTGTCCGTACTTCAGCAGTAGAGAATGTGGAGGATGAGTATTTAAGTTATCATAATCCTAATCAACCTTGTGAGAATTATGTACCAAGTACTTCTAAAGATGAAAGTATGTATGAGCGTGTTGCATCCCTCGAGCAATCAATGGTGGAAATTGTTGCTTATGTGCGAGAGGAGAAATTGAGAATAAATGAAAAGAACAAGAAAAAGAAAGGTGGATAAATTTATATATTATTTCTGTAAAATAATTTATTTGTATTAATGCTTAGCCACTAATCTTGCAGTAGATGATGACAACTTTTCAGCACCAACAGTTGATGACGAGATTCTTCCATTAGCTATTGTCGATGATGATCTTGTTGTTGTTGATGAATACTTTGCTAAAGAAGTTGATGAAGTTGTAGAAGAGATGAAAGAAGAAGAGAAAGATCAAGATGAAGAGAAGATGACATCAAAAGAAGAGGAGAAGCTAGAAGAAAAGAAAGAAGAAGAAAGTGACAAGGAGAAGCTGGAAGAGAAGAAAAATGAAGAAAATGAAGCAAGTGGAGAAGAAGACAAAGAACAACAAGAGGAGAAGATAACAGAGGATGAAGAAAAGGAAAAAGTGGAAGAAGAAAGCTTGGCCACTGATGCGACAAAAATGGAAAAAGAAGTTGACGTGATGGATATTATGATAGAGCTTAATGTTGATGTTGGTGGTGATGAGTAAGACATTTGTGGTTATTGGTGTTTTAAGACAGTTTTTGAAATAGTTGACTTTTAAAGACAATTGGTTTTTGTGATAGTTGGGGTTTTCCTGTTTGAAGACAATTGATTTTTGTGATAGTTGGGTTTTCCTGGTTTGAAGACAATTGGTTTTTTTGAGATAGTTCGTTTTTTAAGACAATTAGTTTTTGAAATAGTTGAGTTTTAAGAACATGGTTAAAGCGGTTTGTTGTTTTTGACGACAAAAATGTACATCTGACAGTTTAACATGTTTTATTATGAAGGGTTTTTAGATTTCTTATTAATCTATGTCTTAATAGTATGTGATTTTTGTTATCACTGCTGATCTATTTAGTAGTCAATTATTGACAATAAACGTGTATGTCTAATACTATAGATTGTTATCACTGTTGATCTATAACATTATCGATCAAAAATAAAAGATATAAGAGTGCAATAAATAGAGAGAAATACTTTATTTATTCAGCACTACATTCATGTTACACATTTCCAAAAAGCAAACACAAAAAATAAACCACACAATATAGTTTTTAGGCGTTTTTCTTTTTCTTCTGCCAAATCAACTTTTCTTTTAGTTGATCTCTATCTATTTCAGCATCTTTTAGCAACACTTTCAAGGGATTCTTCTACTCTTCAGCTTCTTTTAAGAAAGTCATTAGCAGATCCCTATTTTCTTCGAATTCTCGTAGTTTTTTTAATATTAAATGGATTGAAAATTTGATGGGCTACTCATTGATGATTCGTTTTCAAGCCACCTAAAAAAGAGCATATGCCAACCGCACAATTAAAGAATTATCGACATGGATTTGTATCGGTGTGTGACGTCCTCACGGTAGCTGGATTACCACAGTGACAATTGTAAGACTTTTTTTTACATTGGATGTTTGAGATGCTTGAGACATTGTAAAAATGGAGGTGTTTGAGTTGTTTATGAGGGTTTGAGTTGTTTATGAGGGATTGCCTTCCTTTTATACAAAAAAAATAATCAAATGTTACCGTTGAAAAGTAGCATTTGAACTTTTATTACCGTTGTGAAATTTGTATATCAAAATATGTACTAGTTGTCAAAATATATAGACCCCTTAAACAATCGATGCATCTCTATGTGTTGGTGTGCGTATGACCAATGAGATTTACACTCTAACATTAGTAAGGTATATTCGGATTTATATCTATGTTAAAGCATTGTTGATACAACACCTACTAGAATATGACACTCATATATAGACCAAAACTAGTAGAATTTAAAAAAGACAACAATTAATTAATAATAAATTATGTTTTTGAAATTTATCCAATTAAATAAGTTTAAACAAGTCGTTTGATAGTGTAAGAGTCCACATAAATTAGGTATGGTGATTAGAGATGTATGAGGAAGACTTGTGGTTATACAATCAACATCCTTAAAACAATGTTTGAGAAAACATAAGTATGTTGTATCATTCTCTTTGTCCTTCAACTTCTCAAAGAAGAATGTCCAAGATGCATCATTCTCTTTGTCCACGACACAAAAGGCAATTGGATGAACATGATTCTCCGTATCTTGTGTAACAGCGCTCAACAACACGCCATCGTATTTACCATGTAAATGAGTTCCATCAACCGCAATTACCTTTCTCATGTGGGCAAATCCCTTAATGCAAGCATCGAAGGCCAAGAAATAATACATGAACCTACGACTATCCTTGTTTACCATGATACAATAGCTAGAACCAACATTAAGTGTCTCGAACATGTAGGAAAAAGCCGGTAAGCATGAATATCCGTTCTCCGCTGTCCCTCGGACCATTTCCTTGGCAACCACACCACCCTTCCAACATTTTCAATAGCTTGGACTACAATGAAAAGAAGTAAACATAGCTCTTTGAATCTCTTTAACATTTGGATCCTTGCCATCACGATACATATTTACACAAAGTGAAACAATGCCTTTGATTGAAATTTTTCTATGGCTACTGTTAGCATGTTCAACGCCACAACTATGTTCGCCAATGTACTTGTAGATACAAAATTTGTCCGAACACTCATATTTCCTCGCCTGCAACATCCATGCACAATTGCGAGATACACATTTCACCTTTAAATATTTAGTACAACTCTTCACAGTAGCAAAATAAAAGACTTTTTTGCCGCCGCTTCGATTAATAACAATTGCAACTCATTCTTGTTACTGAAAGTTTGGTTTATGCATAAATTAGTTCCATCGGAGAAGGAATGGTTGGATTGTGATCCCAAATCCTATTCTCCCTGCATTTCTTCACAACATTCGGGTTAGGGATCTTCCACATCTACTGGCTGATTTTCCACATTAGTTGGATCATCATGTATATTCATTGAATGATCACCCAAGCTCTCATTTGAATTATCACCTAAGCTCTCCTTTGAATGATCACCCAATCTTTCATTTCCAATCGAATCATTGTTGCCATTAACTGAATTCGTTGGTTCAATTGGAGGCCTCACATTGACGTTTATCCTCAATGTAGGCCTAGAGCCATCAATACCAATATCTAACATGTACAAGCTCACGTGCCTATCATTTTTTATGAATGTGGGATGTATTTTTCTCATTCCATTCATTTGATAGCTAATCACTAAGTCATTTGGCTCGCAAGTTAACTCACCGACCTCAATTACGCTTGCAATCATATCGTTATATGAACCATTGCAGCGCAACGCAATGGGCACTGTCGTCTTACTAAAAGATTTCCAATTCCAGCTTTTGGGAGTCTCCTTCCATACTCCCATATAATCACCACCAGCAACAACAAATTCAGCTACTGCCATTATAGACTACAAAGATAGATACTAGATTACAATATCAGTCGTTAACGATCGATGAAGTACGACATCCGTACAAAAACGTGACTGAATAAGATTGTGGTTTAAAATTTAGCTCCTGCAATGGCGAAACATATTTTTAATGCTTTTAAACTACTAAAATGTATCTATAATGAGTTATCAAGTGATTATTATGAAAGATTTCTCAAATTTCTAAAATGGCGGTAAACTAATTTTGAAGCTTGGTTTTTGAAAGAAAATGAAGTAAACATGAAAATGGAGTAGGAGATGATGATGATTTTACATTGGAAATGGATATTATCGCTGGAAAACTAGCTGGAATCGAAAAATCGACAGCAGCAAAAACGAGCTGCTCTTGTTCCCGTTTGAAGACTTTTTTCTTTTTTCTAATATAAATTTTAACAATTGCAAATAAATATATTATTCCATATTTGTTGGAGGGGGGACCAAAGTGGAGATATGAAAACTTAGGAAAGTCTTTTGTAAGTCTCAATTAGGGCACATGGATGATGTCATTAATAGTGGCTAAACCACTAATTTTTCAAGACTTCTGACTTAATGTCACATTAAGTTTTTAGAGTGACTATTTTGGCAACTCTCCCCAGTTATTGCTCCCTCTTATCCTTTAAAAAGATTATCCATTTAATTAATTAATTAATTAAATTGAATCGGATCGGGCAGAACCGATTTGAGTCGAGACAAGCGGAGTCAAAGGCCGAGCCTCAACCAACAAAGGGGGACAGCCATGCCAATCCAAGCACAGTAAAAGTGTGCCCACGCTACCTTTCTTTCTTTACCTTAGACTCCGTTCTTCAAGGAGACCCATGTGCATTTCCTCTATTATGTGCTCGCTACGTCCTTGTGCCTTTAGTTGAAGTATAGGTCATCGATTCAATCTATCTTGATGGGATTTTTGTAGTAGGTAGCGAGAATACTAATAGTACCCCACGACCCATAACTTACAAAAGAAGTAAATATATAGAAACACGATCAGAAGTATCAGTCGGACGGTGGATCTTAGTCAGCATGAATTAAGCTTTTAATCTGTACTATTATTAAGCATCCTATCATAGAGATCATATTCACTTACTTCTTTGAACAAAAGTCTAAGCATTCACATGTGATGTAAATAAAGCAAGAGAATAGTCACTCTAAGCGGAAAGTTGTAGCTTTACAGTTTTTTATAAAAGTTTTTACAAACATTTTCGCAGAAACTATTCTTTGAAGCCAACGCAATGCAACAACTTATTCTTCAATATATATATTTATCAGTAGTTAATGAAGTTGGGGTAAACCATGGAGACCAAGGTTTTGAGACAAAAAAAAAACTACGTAATTAATTTCATTTATGTGGACCAAGGTTCTAATTCAGCTAAGACAAAAAAAAAAGGGTTCGAAATATATTTGAACTTTGATCGAAATTTCTGTAACAATTCCAAACTTTGGAGAGGACTTATTACCCTCTTGTACTATTTAATAGTGTATTTTAAAGTTATATATGTGCCCACGTGGATAAGTTACTATTTATAATGATGCAATATTTATGATGTCCACGTGGGCACATATCTATCTATATATAATAGGAGAAGAAAAACTGTCACGCGTCAGTACTACAAAATTAGTAGATATTAAATAATAAATGAAAATTTAAAAAACAAAAACAAAACAATATTTTTTTTAAAAAAATCAAAATTGTATTTGAAATTCCAAAAAAAAAAAAACCGTATTGTAACATCTCACACCTAGAAATGACTATAAAGAGTTTAAAATATGAAAATATTGATTTTTGGAAAGAATAAGGAAATCTGGAAATTTTGTCTAAGTTAAGAAAGTGAGTTTTGGCCATTTTCAAATGGCCATAACTCCTAGCTCAGAAAAATTTAGGAGCAGATCTTGATATGGTTGGAAAGCCCTTGGAGAGATCTTTCCAACGCAGCCGAGATTGCATGATTTCGACATCGTATTAGTCAGATATGCTTTTCGAAAGTTGGGTTGTTGGATTGAGGAAAGTCTCAATTCGGATTTAGGGAAGGGCAAAGTAGTCTTTTCTCTAATTAATTTCCTAATTCGTTTTTAGGGGTTTATTGGGGTAAAATTAGAACTTAATTCAGTTTTGGAAAATTACAATACGCTTAGGGCTTGGAGAAAAGAGAAAAGAAGAAAGAAAGGGAGAAAAGCCAA